AAGAGGGGACACATGTTGATGAAGAGACATGAAGAAGAGGGGACACATGTTGATGTAGAAGAGACATGAAGAAGAGGGGACACATGTTGATGTAGAAGAGACATGAAGAAGAGGGGACACATGTTGATGTAGAAGAGACATGAAGAAGAGGGGACACATGTTGATGTAGAAGAGACATGAAGAAGAGGGGACACATGGTGATGTAGAAGAGACATGGAGAAGAGGGGACACATGTTGATGTAGAAGAGACATGAAGAAGAGGGGACACATGTTGATGTAGAAGAGACATGAAGAAGAGGGGACACATGTTGATGTAGAAGAGACATGAGGAAGAGGGGACACATGTTGATGTAGAGGAGACATGAAGAAGAGGGGACACATGTTGATGTAGAAGAGACATGAAGAAGAGGGGACACATGTTGATGTAGAAGAGACATGAAGAAGAGGGGACACATGTTGATGTAGAAGAGACATGAAGAAGAGGGGACACATGTTGATGTAGAAGAGACATGAAGAAGAGGGGACACATGTTGATGTAGAAGAGACATGAAGAAGAGGGGACACATGTTGATGTAGAAGAGACATGAAGAAGAGGGGACACATGTTGATGTAGAAGAGACATGAAGAAGAGGAGACACATGTTGATGTAGAAGAGACATGAAGAAGAGGGGACACATGTTGATGTAGAAGAGACATGAAGAAGAGGGGACACATGTTGATGTAGAAGAGACATGAAGAAGAGGGGACACATGTTGATGTAGAAGAGACATGAGGAAGAGGGGACACATGTTGATGTAGAAGAGACAAAGTGAAAAAGTGGATTTTGCATAATAGGTGACCTTAAAGAAATAAAAATAGGCTGGTCTTTTGGAAAACTCTTTGACTCCTTAGTGCCATCTGAAACTTGATAATAATGCACAATAATGACTCCAAACAGAGATCCATATATACCCTAATGTAATCCACCTACTGTGTTGTATTGAGTGTGTGTTTCCAACCACCTGACCTTGTCTGTTTGTCGAGAAAACGTTTTATATTTCTCCTGCCATTCAGCTCTCAGAACAGGCAAACAAAGGCCATTAACAAATGACACTCGAGCATATTAACTTCCTTCAACTGTAATCAATCCAATTGTATATATATAGCTCAATATTAGTATTTACACATATGTACTGTGAGGGGGCTTTACAATTTGTACAGCATATGAAACATTCTGTCTTTGGACTCTCGCAGCACCAAAGAAAAGACCCCAAAAGAAACACCACGATTAAAAGTGACAAATGGAAGAATCATCGAGGAGATCAATAGAGGAGGGATCCTTCCCAGGACAGACAGACATGCAATAGATGCCTTGTGTACAGATTAAAATGACATAGTAATATTAAAACATGATAATAATATGATTGTATTGCACGCCTTGCTCCAACAAAAGATGTGGACAAGGTAACAGGGCGAGCAGCCATCAATTATACGTAATATATATACATTTTTAAACACACATTGAGAAGAATATAGGTAAAAGGTTGCTGAAAGGAAATAGCTCAAACAGAACCTGCTTTCAAGTCCCTGCATTGACTTCTAGTTATTCATAATAAAGATTTTAAGAGCCTATAAGTCTTTGTATAAATGTGTCAATGATTATACTGTTGCCATGATATGTCGCAGTCTTAATTAAGCTCTCATATAAAACAGAGGCTTTATCCACAAATCTCAATCAATAAACTTTTGTAACACAAAACATTTCCCAAATTTGGATCAATAAAGTTCTATCTTATCTTAACCAAACCCTAGAATAGCCTTAGGCCCTAGCCACACGGAAACGCAGTGGCGAGCCGTGACTTTTATACCTGGGCCCTCTGACCCCCCTTCCCTCGGAAAAAAAAAGAAGAGATATTACGTCTCAACGTAGACTTCAGCGGAATATCAAAACAGTGGTCCGGGGTGCAAAACGCATCAATGACAGCGACCCTCTACCACACAAAACAACATCATTTATATAAACACCTATCATGACAGGGCACCCACAGCCAAGTAGCAATTACAAATGAATTAAGTCGGCACGGCGGCCCGCATTGAAAATGACTTAGGCCTACCTTTGATGATCAAATCACTGAAACACAAAGTCCATCCTCCTGTCCTTTCGGATGAAGCACTTTCAGCTGATCCTTTGCCACTCCAGTTTATCATTGTAACTCAATCTTGAAAATGACTGTTAATAATTTCGCAACGATGTCATCACTATCACTGAAGTGAGCCATCATGAACGAACTTATGCTAATTATAAATCTATCAAAAATAATAAAAGTAGGATAGACATGTGGATATTATCCGGCTGAACACAACGTGCATTTATCTAACAGGTTCGTTTTCCACAGACCTTATTTCGAGCTATTTTCCAAAACCCTATGGAGAAATCCCACTGCTTTCTGTCGAGGGAATCCGAGCGAAACTTACTTCCGGGTTTTAGGCCGCGTCACTGCACCACTTGCATAGACCCTCTTATTATACATCCATGCATAGACCTCACAGCGGACGGAACCTGTCATAAAGTCCGCGAAAATAAAGCCCGCCCATTTAAAGGGAAGATATGATTGGTCAATTGTACTGTCATTTGACATTACTCTCTCGTTGAGTTACGAAAGCTGGGCCCTCTGTGAATGTAGAGAGGGACCAACAAGCTCTCCCGTCTTCACATAACTCGCAGAGACGGCATTTAACCCTTCACATTCCAACAGAAACTGAACAGGCAGATTCGAAGGATTTATTTCTTTGGAAATATTATTTTAAATACAATTAAATCAAGTTATTTTGGTAAAATTAATGAAAAATGTAACAACAACAAAATGTAAAAAATAATATATTTTTTTTAAATGTTTTTTTTGTAATGTTTTCAAATATTATTTTTTAGAATATCTTAGGCCCTCTCTGAGGGCCTATAGGGCCCTGACGGCTCGCCACTGCGGAAACGAAAACGAACCGAATTCGATATAAAAAAAGTCTTCCATCCACACGCAATAGGCACCAGAAACGTGTCCTTCCACACGAGACCGCTCGACCCGCTGGAGACGCTGTAGTACATACGCCGGGCCTGTAAGTGGCGCCACAAAATACACCAAAAGCAACGAAGAAGATTTACTGAGCATGGTTGCCCTTCTGCTTATTCTGGTGGTGTGGGGAGAGGCAGGGCTCTGGCTGTTTCTCGTTTTCTCCCTCCCGAGGCAAGCGTCTGCTCCTGCTTTAAATCTCTCCGGTAGTCCACCAGCAGATGAAAAACACCCACCTCTCCGCCTCTTCCAAGGGACGAGGCGGAGAGGCAGAGTTTCCGTTACAATACACCGGTCAACATGTCCGTTAAAGTTGAAATCTTCCGGACAAAATTAGAAAAGTGCCCGCTCAAAGGTCTTCTTTGTTATTTATTGAGCTTTAAAACAAATGAATAACGACTCCGCAGATCTACCCACCTTGGGACCCGTTATCGGCGTTTCCCTGTCGGCCTCGTGTGGCCGAACCGTCTATAAGATAGAGAACTGTAGCGGATACGACCCGTTTCGTCACCGTGTGGCCTTGAATCAGGTTCTGTAAACCTCATGTTGTTTTCTTTCAATATAAAGCACTGTGAAAGGTAATAAACGCTGAAACTAAACCAATTATTAGAAGCAGTATTCATAGTAGAACTAGTGTTGGTGGTAGTATTTGTTGGGGCTTATTTCTTGACTCAAAAAGGTTAAAAGAGACGGCTGTGAAAGTGTGAAAGCAAGGCAAATATACTAAGCCTAAAACGTTACACATTCAAAAGATGTCTTGTTTATTCTCATACTTGATAAACACCACATCGTGGGTTGAAACAGAAATCCTGATAAGGTTAGATAAAAAATATGGTGTCAATCCATGCAAACATTGAAAAGGCAAAAGGTCCTTAATGTCAGCTGGAGTTTGCATAGTCAGCTAATGCTATGCAAAGGCTAGAATTTGTGTACTGCTGTCAAATATAATCGATCTACTTTTAATAGGAATTCTAGCCGCAGTAGTTTGAACAAGCTGGATGTTTTAATGTAAGCTTTAATAGGATGCAGTAGGCGGCAAGAAAAGAATCCAGTTTGGATTCAACTAAGGTGTTTCTGTGTCAGCTACTACTGAGATACGTTATTATGAGTGCAGTTTTTGAATAGGAGAAGCAAAATAGAGAGGCTGCATAATTGTATAGAAATTAAAATAAAGAGTATGGAAATAGCAGGGTACTATCAGCTTTTCTTGCATTGCAAAAGTCAAGAAACAGCATTTTTGGTCTATTTGCAGTTAAGTAGAATATGTCAAATAAATGTCACCATACTACACTATATTTAATAATAATATATTAATTTTATATAGCGCTTTTCTGGACCCAAAGACGCTTTACATTTGGGAGGGGGGGTATACAAACAAAACAAAAAACAGAGACAAAGCCAAAAAGAAACAAAACACAACAGAAAAGCAGTCAGGAGGAAGTTGATTAAGAGGGGGGGGGGCTTTATAGATAAAGAGTTGAAGAGGTGGGTTTTGAGGCGGGACTGGAACAGGGTGAGGGACTCAGACTCACGGAGGTCTTGGGGGAGTGAGTTCCAGAGCTTTTTTTTTAGATTTAAAACTGATTATATTGCTGTTTCACATTAAAAGCTCATAATAGTTCAATGTTTTCGCGGGCAATATTGTGTTTTACAGAACATCTAAAGATAAAAATAATTGTTTGTGACTGACAAGGTAAGGCTAATTATATATTAGTTTGTTTTATTGTATTATCTTTGCTTTTTTAAAGACTGTTTTAATGCCTTTTTTTCATTTTTGAAAGCACTTTGAATTGCCTTGTGTTAAAAGTAACTTATATAAATAAACTTGCCTTGTCTCAGGCATGATCTCTAATATCAAACAAACTGTCTGTAAAATATTCACCTCTTCGTTTGTGAACATCTTAACTTGCCACCTGATTTTCTGACTGTAACACGGTTTTAAAGTTTAGTACTCACCACTCTCAAAGCAAGCATCAAACAGCAGATGTCCTTTCCGCGGCGCTCCAGAGTAACCTGGCGGAGTCACGATCAGTTTGTTTACGTTCCCCACCAAGGCGTCCTCTGCCCCCGCTTCACTGCCTGGAAAACAGGTGCAATATGTAGCATTAACAGTGTCACTTTATGCAAAGGTGTTGATTAAAATATTTGAAGTAAGCCTTTTCTGATGTAAGCCCTTATCGAGAAGATGAATCACTTCGTCTCTCTTACAGAATGACAGATGGCTGACCTTAAAATAAAAACATATGCTGCCATACAGATTTGTTCTTTTACTGGTGGTGTGCAAGTGAGATACTGTCATTCTGATGGGTCTTAGTTATGGTTTAAGATGTTCTAATGTGCAAAAATGTTATTATTTTATTTGATAATTGATCTTTTACCACCTATTACCACAATCAATACACTTACGGTAAATCTATTTACACTGACAGAAAAGCAATATGCTTTATTTCAAGAGTTCATTAACCTCTCACTTGTATCTGTGATTATATGCCTATGAAACACCAAATAACTCACGTGTACAACATTAAACAGCACAGCAGTTTAACCAGGCTACTTTGGGAATAAAAGGTTATGAGGTCATCCTTAGCTTTCAGAACCAGAGAAGAATCAGAACATCCTTTCCATCACACATTGGTGTAACTTAATTTCGTAAATAGGAATAGACACAAATAAATAAAAGCAGTGCAAAAAAAAGATAGCAGTAATGAGAAGGCACTATGATTCAATTAAATGTCAATGTAATGTTATGTGATGAAAAAACATCTGCAGCAACTGAATATATCTGAAGCTTCGATTTGTATAGTGTTATTGCTTGCATGTAAATATATATTCATTGTGGTTTTATTTAAAGTTGTAGGAGGTCAAAAATATAACAATATGACAATTTATGAGGTATATTATATTTCAAGTGGAGGGCTGTGCAGAGAGGTATAGGGAGGTAGTTATTGCTCATACGTAAAGAAACCTGTGTGTGTCCAGGCATTATGGGTAACTGTCAATTAACATCTGTAGTACCGACAGCAGGTTCATTAGCTACACATCAGGAGGAGCTATCCCCAGGTAACAGAGCTAGCTAGCAGATACTGGTAGCAAACACACCTGCACTAGGCTTACGTTGTACTCTAAGTGAAGTGGTTAACAACAATTAATTACAAGCAAATACTGTGTTAATTAACCGGCTAACGTAATTAGCAGCAGCGTTAGCTCTTAACAAGCTAATGACATGTCTCTTGTTTACATTCCTGCACCTGCTATGCTAGCTAGAAGGTTAGCACACTTCACGTTAGAGTCCGTTTTAAGACGCGGAACGAGCCCGAAACATGCAGCTGTTATATCTCAGACAACGGGGCATAATTAGCGTCCTTTGGGCTTGTCTAGCAACGGAGAATAAGGCAGGTGAGTCTCGTATTTACACACCAGTCTCGACGTCTCTAGCTGTGTTTTCCTCCATCTTCCTCTCCATTCTGTCACACAGCGGCAGCGGACGCTCCATGTGTGTTGCCAGGGCAACGGAGCAGGAGGCAGAGGGAGAGGCGCTGCCATCAGTGAGTCCTGCAGGAACACAGGACACCACTTTATACACTTTCTAAACACTGCAGGTAAGAGGAGTGCAGATGTTGGATTAAATGCACTCAGGGTAACAACGGGCGTCAATCGTTATCTAATTCAGCAAGATCAGTCAATTTCTAATGCTAAATCATCATCTCAAGAGCAGAGGTGGGAAGTAACTACATTTACTCACGTACTCAACTTAAGTACAATTGTTACTTAGTACTTCTACTCCACTACAGTTCAGAGGTAAATGGTGTACTTTTACTCCACTCCATGTATTTAATCCCTTTAGTTATTTCACAGATCAGGATGAATGATGTGAAATCTAATCAAGTGTTAAATCAGACTTTAGTTCCACCTGGAGTAAATCCACCAGCTACCCTGCAGTATACAAAGTACTTCAAACTAGCTGCACCTTTACCAGCTTTGAGAACACTTTCATGATCAATCATTATAAAACATATCATATATATTATTCTGAAATGGACCAATCTGCACAATCACTACTTTTACTGTCGCTACTGTAACGTCCGAGGTGTTATGGCTTCAAAGATACTTCTGTGTAACAAGAACTCAGGAACGTAGTACTTTTTGGAGCGTCACAGACAGCGCCTCCATTTATTATTGTCGAGTCACCCCACACTCTCCTTCACCACTCCCGGACTGCACAACACATGACCTCTCAACCCAATGCTTACACTACTTTAACTATATTTTGATGATAATACTTTTCTACTTTTACTTGAGTAACATTTTGAATGCAGGACTTTTACTGTAACAGAGTATTCCTACACTCTGGTACTTCTACTTTTACTCAAAGATCTGAGTACTTTTACTCAAGTACAAGATCTGAGTACTTCTCCCACCTCTGCTCAAGAGTAGAGAAGTACTTATTTTAGATGATAGTGTTTGTGCAAGTGATTGATGAAACATATTTGGCACACTGCTGCTGTCTGATGCTTTAGATAAAAACATTACAAAAACAACTTAAAATCATATTTACATTGACACCACTGAGGCTTAAATACAGACTCTTTAGACTGAAAGTACAAAAGGGCTTTTTGATCAAATACCTGTTTTTTGCAAATTGCTCGATTGCACAATATTTAGAATTATAATTTAGTTGACATACTGTAGGTAAGATGGACAAGTTCAGATGTTTAAATATATGCACTTCAATGTGAGAGCAACAGAAAGCGTTAATAGTTATTAAGTACAGCAAAAATGCAGATCAAAATGTGTAATGCTTATTTCTAACCCCCTAACCCTAACCCTTGTCTAAACAGTTAAGAAATAGAGTAAACATATTTTTGGAGAATATAGTTTTTGCAGGTTTTTGTTAAAAACATTCTGCATTACTACATAACGGCACTCTTTTTGTCCTCATTATTCTAACAGCAATAACTTATAGCGTCATTAAAACATGTGCAATTAAATGTATGTGGCATATTTTATATACATCAATGGGAGAAATAACTCAAAAGAAAAACAAGGGCACAAACCAATAGGGCAATAGGGCCCAAGAGAGAAGAACAAATGTATATTCAAATAAGTAAGACAGCTACCATTAACCAGTTATCATTGACCTTTATTCAAATGTGACCTTCACCCTCCTTTGGACTTCTACTATATTTTTAACAATGGTCCCAACAGTCTCCGTCTTCCTTCTTGAGTTACAGCTTCTCCAAATATATGGATTAGTGTAATATTCAAACACTGTGTGTGTGTATGTGTGTGTGTGTGTGTGTGTGTGTGTGTGTGTGGTGTGTGTGTGTGTGGTGTGTGTGTGGTGTGTGTGTGTGTGTGTGTGTGTGTGTGTGTGTGTGTGTGTGTGTGTGTGTGTGTGTGTGTGTGTGTGTGTGTGTGTGTGTGTGTGTGTGTGTGTGTGTGTATGTGTATGTGTATGTGTGCATGTGTGTGTATGTGTGACCTAGCACTTACTATACTTGTGGGGACCTAAATCTGTTTAAACAGTCACGTGTGGGGACTCGCCTCCCTTATGGGGACAAAATGGAGGTCCCCATGAGGGGAATCATTAATTTTAGGGTGAAGACTTGGTTAGGGTTAGGGTTAGGCATGTGTTGGTTATGGTTAAGGTTAGGATAAGTCTCCAGGAAATGCATGTAAGTCAATGTAATGTCACCTGAAGTGATGTATACATGGTATGTGTGTGTCTATCTGTGTGTGTGTGTGTGTGTGTGTGTGGTGGTGTGGTGTGTGTGTGTGTGTGTGTGTGTGTGTGTGTGTGTGGTGGTGTGTGTGTGTGTGTGTGTGTGTGTGTGTGTGTGTGTGTGTGTGTGTGTGTGTGTGTGTGTGTGTGTGTGTGTGTGTGTGTGTGTGTGTGTGTGTGTGTGTGTGTGTGTGTGTGTGTGTGCGCGCGCAACACGTTCTCACTCCCATCCCGTCACATATTGACGGACGGTCAGGGCCCCTCCCCGTCGCTATATGACGTACAGGGTACCCCTTGCCCGTCAGGCTTCTATCTACGGGCAGGGCGTCCCATAGACCTTCATTGCGGACAGCGGACCCCTTGACCGTCAGGCTTCTACGGGCAGGGCGTCCCATAGACCTTCATAGACCACGTGATCAACAACAATGGCCGACCTTCGTGTTATTCTCGGTGGAAAAGGACTATTTTAAGGTTCATTTGGCCAATAAAATGCGTTTTGATGTCATTTGATGCGATTAATATGAGTTGTTATTTCTGATTATTTGTGCAGTACATGTACATGATGTTTAGTTTGCTAGTTATGACGAAGATTACTTCATGAATGTGTACACATTCATGGTTGCTAAGGTGGTTGCTATGGACGCTGCAACAGCTCCCAGACCACGTGATCAACAACAATGGCCGACCTTCGTGTTATTCTCGGTGGAAAAGGCCTATTTTAAGGTTCATTTGGCCATTAAAATGCGTTTTGATGTCATTTTATGCGAGTAATGAGTTTTTATTTCTGATTATTTGTGCAGTACATGGACATGATGTTTAGTTTGCTAGTTATGACGAAGATTACTTCATGAATGTGTACACGTTTTTTTGGTGGAAATGTGTTTTTTCACAGCAAAGTCACCCTCTGTACTTGGACTTATTGGGAGAATCTAAAGGCAAGAACATCCCAAATATTCATTTAGGTCTTTATTTTAGACCTTTAGTGTTGCCGTCTGTGAGGAAAATAAATGGGGCTCAGAGCCTCGTATTTTTAAAATCTTTTTTTCCTTCTAATTTGTTATTCTTTTCAAAATAGCACACTGTTATTTACTCACCAATAACACACAATTATCCTTGCTTTTATTTATTGGTTTAATTCCATAATTTCGGGCTTTTTTGGCGTCCGTCAGGAACTGAATTTCAAAATAAAAATAACCGGAAACAGACGTAGGCATTTCGAGCGATTACCCAAGATCCTCAGCTATGTTTTAGCCGCAATGCATGCTAGGATTTGGTGTTTATATTATATGAAATCCGGAAAACATTTTAAAATAATACTTAATTCCGAGTGCTCTTGCTTTTCTCTTTGAAAGTCATCACATAACGGCATTGTAATACACGGTTCGGCTGCATTGTATATTACAGATCTGCCGTAGTTCTTTATTTATAGAGCCCTGATGAGAAGACCTTTGGAAAAACTGAAGAAATGCCGCCGAAACTGAATACTTGACGTGGATCATAAATATTTCAACAATTAAACAACATCTTCAATTTCTCTTCACACAATACGTCTCCTTGCAGTATCAACACTAATTCGGCAGACTTTTACATTTGATATAATTCATAGATAGGTTATATTTACACCATAACGGTGCACAGCTGATATAAAAGGATTTGTAGTTTTTAAAGATATTACTGATTTGAATTCGATTGCATTTTGAATGTAAGAATGTAAATACTGAGTCTGAAATAGTATAGCAATATGCTGTAAAATTATGTGAAAGCATGAATAAAACTACACATCTTCAGATGTTGTACATACAAGTGTCCAACACTAATAATACAAAGTTATTATGGCTGTGTGTACCTTGTGTGCACCGCCTAGTGGTTAAAGCACGTTATTGAATTATTGTTTTTATGTGTTTTATTTGTTTAAAAAAATATTAAGAGTACATACTTTCATAGGGGGAAAAGTATAAATATAGAATATAAAAAATCAAGAAGATACTATAAGTGATCTCTACAATAAAACAGTTTAGTGCAGAATGTACAAAGATATGAATAGGAGGAGGTGCAAAACAGAAAAACGAATTAACCTTTATTTAAACATTAAATAACAGATTAAGGTCTTCTTTTAAATAAGAAAAAAACTTTGGGGGTATCTATCTACAGATAAATATTAAGCCTGACAAAGTACTTAACGTCTAATATATTGCTTTCCTGCAATGTTAACTATGTTGAAGCACTTATTTTAACTGATATTATACATATGGATTATACCCTTATGTATGTAGATAGAATAAGAAATGTGCAGAATATGACAGTTTAATGGTGGAGGGACACACATATTGATAGATGTCTTGGAATAAACTGTTGATTGCATAACTACACCGTAGTTGTGTATATGATATGTCAATAAACCTTTGAAAATCTTGAAAGGGATGTTTAAAATAGCCATAATATACAGTCTTTAATTAACTATTAGTAGAGAATAACGAGTAATTAATATACTTTATTACTCGTTTCCATTCATGTCAATTGCAGATACATGTTTAGTCTTCTCAAGCACCAACTATCAAATATCTCTCCTGAGTGTTGGCACTTGACAATCACCTTACCTGAATGTTACTCAGGTGTAACTAAAGTCTGATTTAAGGGTTGTTTATATTTCACATCATTAATCAGAATCTGCAAAGTAACTACAATAAGTGTAGTGGAGTAAAAATACCAGGTTAACCTCTGAATTGTAGTTGAGTAGAATTACAAAGTATCAATGAGCTGTCATGTGGGTATATAT